AACGTTCCTGAATTGCTTAGCACATGAACTTTTGAGGGGATATTTCATATCCAAAGCGTAACAGAGAGCATTTGCTCATTTTTTTTTTCTCTTAGCTACATTACCTAAGTTTTTTTTAAGAGAGAGAGATAGAGAGAGAGAGAGAGAGAGAGAGAGAGAGAGAATTTTAATATTTATTTTTTAGTTATTGGTGGACACAACATCTTTGTTTGTATGTGGTGCTGAGGATCGAACCCGGGCCACATGCATGCCAGGGGAGCGCGCTACCACTTGAGCCACATCCCCAGCCCAAGTACTTAAGTTTTTAATGAGGAACTGAAGTCAACTAAAATACTTAACACACATCTCATTTTCTACAATTTAATTTTTGAAAATATGTTCGGTAGTTTTTTATTAGTCCTATTTTTACAGCTCTTTTGTTAGTATGAGGAGTTTATTAATATATAGTTGTTAGTATCAATGATCCCAAGTGGTTGGCTTCCCAATCTTTGTTTATATTTTTATTATATTTCTACATGTTTTTGTGATGAATACAAATATTTACAGTAGACCATTTAAATTCCCATACGTGGTTCAGACCAAAGTCTCAGTTCCACTCTTTCATATAAGGGACCCTTGAGTTCTTTACTACTTTTACCTCCTTTTGCTCAGGCAACTGCTCTGGTACATGGAAAAGACTCCTGGTGCCAGCTGTGCCATCACTGTGGGGGCTCATGTGAAGCTTTTGGTATGTACCAAGCATCTTAACAGCAGCTCTTTGGAAACTGCAGAAGCTTCAGAGTAGGCAACATCCTTTCCTCAGAGACAAGAAAAATAAGCAAGGAAGTGCTTACTGAATTTGGAAGAAATAATGATGACTGTCCAAAGTCAATAGGGAAGACTATCTTATCGTGAATTTTCTTGTTTGGTGACTCCTAGTCGGATTATTAAATGTCTTAAAATACCTCAAATTCATGTAAGTAAAATATTTCACTTTACTCCATGAATTTTTGCCTCATTGTGAGCTATTAAACAAGTCCATGGTTGTTATGAAATGTCTGGTTGCTTCCAAGGAAACCAGTACCTACTTGGGAAAAAATTCAGTTTAGAGACTAGTGTGTGAAGAAGACCTTGGGGAAGTGGAAACCTTGGCAGTTCTAAACCCTAGGTCCAGTGAAAGACTTATGTTCACCCAATGTCTTGATGTTTGGTCTAATTAATGGTACTTTATTTTTGTGGTGGTATATTTGATGGGATAAAGCCCAGATCTCCTAGCAGCCTAAGGGAAAAAGGAGATGGCCAATAACACAAGCCTAGGAGTAGCTTCTCCTTTACCCACTGGGTCCTGCTCCGTTTGCTCTGTTTTAGACTGACATCTGGTGGCCAGGGACTATCAACCAGTGCCTTTGCAATGAAGAATTTATAAAAGAATTTGGTTCGAGAATTTTGTGTGCAGCTTTTGCAGGTAAATACTCCAGAGCATCATTATTTATTTTCCTTTTGTGCTTTGCATAAATCAAAGTGGCTGTCAGAATTTGATATGCTTATTAAGAGCTTTAAGAATGTTTACAAATTTTTTATCTGAGTCCTTTCACTTCTATGGTTGTATCTCAAAAAAATAAATGCAGACAGATTCATGTATAAGCATGCTTCTTAAGGTGTTATTTATAACACAAAATTTGGAACTAGCTCAAATGTTCAAAAATGGGGATTGTTAGTAGGAATTCTTCTATAACACTGCTCATGATTTAGAAGAACATCTAACACATGATAAAATACTTATGATAAATTATGAAGTAAATAAAACTAATGAAAAAGCAAATAAAACTCAGGATCTTGATTTTGGTTTCTGTATATTTCCCTCTTTCAGAGATATATAAAGAGGCATAGATCTAAGAAGAGAAAAAAACACCATGAATATTTTATGTGTATGTTTACCTGTATAGTAGAGTATCAGTACCAACTATTTTCAGAGTAACATGGCCTTTAAGATATGTCTCCTGGAACTTTGTCAAGTAAACATGCTCCTATTGAATATCTGTGCAAAAGGCCGTGAACAATTGCTTCACTGTTCTCAGGATCAGAAATAATCCAGGAAGCTTGAGCATGTAACTGCCACTTCAGATTTGCTAATGGGTCTTGAGGCTGAGAAAAAAAAAAAAAGCACCTTAGTTCTTACATGACCCTAAAGACATTAACTTGGCTTATGGTTTGCCATAAGAGTTGTTGGTGGAGATGTGGAAGAAGATGCAATCCAAATCTCTGTGTAGAATGTGCGATAACCAGAGCTCTGTTTTATAATTAGAATCAGTCTATTGCTTAAAGCATTTGTATGATATAGCTTGGAGTTTTTGGAGGATGAAAAGGTACAAGTAAACTTATTTGCTTGCTTCACTAGGTGATCAGCTCAGAAAGAAAAGATTGAGGGGATCTTACAGATTTCCTTTGGAGATCTGGGAGCAGCTCCCTGGGTCCTGGAGCAGCTGTTTTGCTAGCCAGACCTGCCTAGTAGGTCCTCCTCTCATGGAGTTTCATGTTTCATATTAATATTCTTGGACATGATTTCTACATACATGAATAACCTGTCACTTCCTTAGGAGACCAGGTGGCAGCTTCAAGAAGGGGAAAATCATTTTCAGAGCTCCCTGTTGGCCTAATTAACATCTTTCCATTCTCCTAATGAGATGGTTAATCTGTTTTTTTTTTTTAATTTAACCATTTGGTTGACAAAAGATGTCTATTACAGGAGTAGGGTATGATTCTCACACTTTCAGGTATCAACACCACTGCTATTAGATTGACAATAGGGATTTTCCAGCTTTAGTTGAAAATGTATCTTCTTCTGAAACTTTTCTGAATTAATTCTTCTAAATTCTCCATGAAGGCATATTCAGTGTTGCTCCTTATCATTTTCAAAGAAGTAGAAATGAAATCTGACTGGTGTACATTAACCTGTGTCTGCTTCTTAAATAAATGTGCAAACACAAATAGATTCACTCATCTAAGTATGAAAAGACTTATCAGAGTATGTTCAAGTGAATGTTAATTTTTTTGTGTTGGGTGTATTTTAGGAATTCAATAAATTCTCAGTGGCTATTTTTATGTATGGATGCTACTTAATTTTATCTAAGTAAAACATATTCTCAAAGTAACATTTACTGGGAGATATGATTCAATGCAAGGTCAAGTTCAGTGATTGTCATAAAGATCTTTAAGATGTGGTATAATTCTATCTTTTAGATGTCACTTTTCTGTAGCTCAGTGCCAGAGTTACAGAAAATCAAGGACAGAAGAACTTGTTTTTCACATTTATGCTCTTAAGTCTCACACACCATTGAAGTAAAATTTTGACCTTTGAGAAATTGCCACCACAATCCTTTCTGCCTTATAAACTTGGGTTATTTTCTGAAGTTTACCATTCATAAAAATTTAAGAAATAATTTTCCTTCCTTTTGGGATCCAGAAAAATGCAGAAAAAAAAACAAAGAAAGAAATCTTTAAGTATCTTAAGCCTAAATTGTTAACCTAATATTTCAGATAATAGTAGTCCATGATTTGAAAGTAAGAATAAGCTACATTTAAATTAGTCTATTCCTAAGCTTTATAAATTAAGAAAGTGGACAAAAATGTATAGATTCATAAGCTATATTAACATAATGATGATTCAAATGTATTGAGTTCCTACTACAATTTCCTGCATTGAACAGCTGCTTAGGTATATGAACACTACCTAAAGTAGTACCTCATCCTAAACTCTCCTCATCACCCTAGTTAACAGTGTTATCTCAGTGAACTTTCTGTGATGATGGAAATGTTTTCTGAGTGATCTGATGTGATATCCACTAGCCACATGTAGCTACTGAGGACTCAAAACATGGCTCAGGGAACTAAATATTTAGTTTTATTTAATTTTAATCAATTTCAACTCAAGTAGTCCCATGTGGCCGGGGATTACTATCTGATAGCATAGCTCAAGACATTAACTGGTTTTATTATCTCCATAGTACTTAGCATGAACTGCAATTATCTTTTTGTTTCTTTGTTAATCGTCTCTCTTCTCCCACTACATTGTAAGCTCCCTGAGATACTTGGTCTGTCTTTTTCACAGATACATCCTTAGAGCTTGGTATGTAGGAGGTACTTAAATTTTTTATTTCAAATGTACAAGGATGTTATTATTATGCATGTTCTGCAAATGATGAAGAGCAAAGAGGAAACCTACCTTATAAAAGGCAGCAGGAATTTGAACACAGAACTATTTGACTCCAGCTCTGAGCCTGTCCACTCTATCAATTGGCCATATGCACATCTACAACAGAACCTCAGACCCCTGACAGCCAAGCCCAAGGATGGAAACTGTTCTGATTATGTTAACACCAAAAATTGAGTCGAGGACTCTGACATAGTTTTGTCATTTGCATTCTGGACAGGAATCTTCCAAGTATTTGGGTCTTTGGCTTAAAGTTCTAACCCAGAAGTTTAGGTGCACATGTATTAACATTGAAGGATAACATTTCAACCTAAAAGTTCCAAGACTATCCTTACCATTTAAGAATTCTATGTTCTTTTGAGATGTTATGAATTGCTCTGCTGGGGTATGTGAGAGATAGGGAATAGAAAGTTCTAGAATCTTTTTTTTCCTAAAATGTATTTATAATATATATATATATAAGAAACAAATTTAATAGATTTTCTTGATTATTATTTTTATGTTGAGATAATATGCTTTACAAAAAAGTGTGTTGAAAGTTTTAGGAAGCCACATGGAGGGCTTGTGTTTGCATGTGTTGACAGGAGTGATTTACTGTTAGAGGCTTGAGTGCCAGGCAGAGTTCTTGGAGCACATACAGGGTCAAGCAAGAAAAAAAAAATGTTCACCCAAAATAACAGAAGAGTACCAAAAGTGTGAGGCAATTCCATGTAATGCTAGCAAGGCTAGAAATAAAGTAACTCGAAGCTAGTGGGGACAATTCCCATGAGCTCAAGGTGTTTTATTTTAATTGAAATAAAGATATGGCAGTATTGGGATTTGAAGCAGATTCATCCATTCTTGTCTCGCTGTAGGAACTTCATTGAATCTCAATTTACTTTTGTACTTAATCCTGATTGTAGTAGTCTCCAGTTCATAAGATGACTGTGAAGATAAAAGTATTATAGTGCCATAAATCATTGAGACCAGCATCTGTTACATATTGGTGCTCCATAAACATTAGCTGCTATTATTAAGGTAAGGCAAAAAAAAAAAAAAAAAAAATCCAGGCTATCACTGTGAACAGAGCCAAAGGTAGGATAATGTAGTAGTTACAAAGGCTTTGGAATCACATACACCTTGAAAAAGGTATGAGCCCTTTTTTTCAATAGTAAAACAGATATTGGGCCTCATAGGTTTGCTGTGAAGGTAAAATTGAATGTTGTATATCAAATGGTTAGTACTTTGCTACCTGTTACAGCTTGAAGCTCCATTAATGGAGGGTCTATGGCCAGACTTCATTGGCTGTTAGCCATTAGGTGATTGGGCTTAAATGTGAAGGATTACAGTTTATCATTTGGAAAAGGCCAGCATGTGTGTTGATCCATGGCTTAAAAACTTGATTTTTAAAGTTCTTCACACTGACATGACAGCACTATACAAATGAACAAGATGCTCCTGATGGTTAGTTACGGTAACAATAACCTCTCATTATTGGACCTGTTTTTCCTTCTGCCCCATCTTAATGCAGTCTTAACATTTATTTGGGCAACATAAAACCAACAACAACAAATTATCAAGGTCACAATTTAAGAAGGCTTCCCAGAAGTACCAATATTTAATTTCAATTCCATCAAAAAGGCTAATTTTTATACAAAATGACTAGTGGATACATGGTTTCTCKGCTTTGGTGATTGCCGATTTTTACTTCCACACACCACCCCCCCCTTCTCTGTTTCTTTCCCTCCCTTTCTTCCTCCCTCCCTTCCTCTCCCCCTCCCTCCTCCCTCTTTGTTTGTTACTTTCTTTCTTCATGACTTGAAGGATGAATTAGTTGGAAAGGAATCTCAGGAAAGTGTGATAAGTAGTTTGCTGGAGACAAAAGTCTTTGTGTGCATTAAGGGGAAGAAATGTTTAGTGAGATAATATATTTCGGAACTTTCTACCTGAACTTTGTGAAGAGGCACACAAGTTTGTCTTTAAGTATGAAAAATATGGATCATTTAAAATAATATATCAATATTATATTACTCTTCATTTGAGGATGTTCACTTGATCCCTCAGGTACTCCAGTTATCTAGCTTGTCTTTCCTGGTTTTCAGATCACTTATTGAAATCATTAATTTGAATATCAGCTTTGAGAGCCTTAAAAATAAATTATTAACTTTTTAATGTTATATCTTTTACTGGTTTGTATTTGATTTCTTTTTAAGGACTCTAAAAATCCCTCCATGTTTTAATAAAGTATCTTTCAGAAGATTTTAAATAATGCAAATTAAAACCCTGTGGTGGCTTTCTAATGTCACATTTTCAGTGGGATTAGGCTGAACTATATTTCTCAGTTTGCTTTCTTCTGTTTCTACTTCTAGCATGGTTCTGTAGGATTCCAGGTTGTCCTGATCATTTCCCATCTTACATCCATCTTCCATTCCCATCATTCCCAATTGCCAGGTCAAATTCCTGCAGCAGGTCAAATTGTGTGAGTGTGTGTGTGTGTGTGTGTGTGTGTGTTTACATGGAGACAATGTATTTTAATTTTTCCCTAAATCTATGCTTCTTTGATTGAACCCCAACTGACTTAGTACACCCTAATTAATCCTAGGCCTTTCTCCATAGAGATCCACCGTTAAAGCTGTGCAATCATCTAGGTTTTTTCCTGTGCAAGTACCTGAACATCACAAACATACCTTACCTATTTTTCACTGTTCCAGGTGCTTTCTTGTGATGTAGGAAAGAGAATGGAAGCTCAGATTGTGTACACCATTTCTTTTGAAGTGTCATTTTATTGATATCAAGCGGTACAAACATTTCTGTTCTGCTTGCTAAGCTGCCAGTACCTGTCCCCATTCTCATGAGCAGTTAGTCTAATTCAATTTTCTCTTAGGAACTTAGCAACAGTTTCTCCTCCATGGTTTGGTGATCATTCTTTGTTACCTCTGCAACTACCAAATAACAGGTCATTTGGATTCAGAATGAGCATTCAAAACCTAATCCATCTCTTGGGCATCTCTTTTTGCTTGATTTATGGTACTCCTTTCTCCTTTGGGTTTTATATTTCCCATTTCACTTTTCAGGTCAAAATGCACATTCATAATTTTAAACTAGAAAAAAATGATCATTGATTTATGTATTTTTTATCTTCTCTGATTTGTTTTGGTTCAAGTTCTGTCAGTCTTAATGGATGTTCATATTTGGAGGCAAAATATAACTGAATTATTAAAAATCTATTATATAAGTCATAATAACAGGTATTGTGGGGAATTTTAAGACACAGGTATTTGTGGGGAATAAGCTGAACGGCTCTTTCTACTTTCAATGCCGGTCTTCTTCTTCGCCTGATTCAGAAGTACTAGTTGAAAGAAAATCCCATTCCTTTTTTTTTTTGGCCAAATTCTATTTTCTCCTATTGAATTTATCTTATCATAGCTTTCTCTCTCAATAGCCTCGTCTTCCATCCCAGATCTCTTCTAAACTGTCCAAAACCCAAAAAGCACACATTTCAAAGCCATTTCATATTCAGCACTAGAATATTGATCTACTTGCTTTTTTCCAATGGTATTTTCTTTTTGATGATTATTTAAAAAGATGTCATTTTTGCTTAAACTATGTTTATGCCTCTACTTTTGATTTAACTATCTCTGGTATATATCTTTTTAGTGTTTTTGTAAGTATCTGGGTAATTTTTATATACTGCAAGATTTAAGAACATTGCTCCAAGCCTACTTTGAGAAAAGCTGACTTGATTGTAGTTTATTTACATACCTCTTACCCAGTTTCCCTAGTTAGATTCTCGGCTTGTCTGGGGAGGGATCCATACCTTCATCTTTGTGATGAGCTTGCATACTTTGTTAAGGGAGTTGTTTGACTAACCCAGGCCTAGAATCTATTACCCACAATTCCAAACTATCTGAGCTCTGAAAATGGAAAAATGTTTCTTCACTCATTTGGAAATAAACTTGACCTCAAATAAGATAAGGCTATTTATAGTCTTTATTTATCCCACTTGGTATAAATGTTTATCTCACTGCAGAATGTTAATGTGCTTGATTATGGGGTGTTGCCCCAGGCTCTTCTTACTTATTATAATAGACACACACACACACACACACACACACACACACAGAGAGAGAGAGAGACACATACATACAACATGAGCATCCAAAAAAAAAAAAAAAGAAAACTAAATTCTGAAACACATCGGATATCTAGGCTTCAGAGAAGATATTGTAGAGCAGTATTTATTGATGTTTTACCTGGAAGCTTAGGAAAGCTGAGGTCTTAGTGAATATAGTAGCATTTGAAATTTAGGTCAGTGGTTACCATGTCTGATAGAACCATCTTCTACCTGGTGGACCCCTTAAGCCCCAGAAGTGCCTGAATTTCGGACCTGAGCACCAGCTCTTTTCCCTCTACTTTCTGGGTTCTCTTGGTGTACAGCCAAAGTTCAGAAGTCATGACATGATCAAATGATTCTCTAGGGTAGCTGGCCTACTTTTCCCCCAATCAGGTGAATTTTTTTCAAATGCCATAGGATCCTTTGGAGAAATGCCTCCGTGACTTCACAGGACTGATGTGAACTATGGTCATCTACACTGAGTGGGTCAAAGCCCTTAGTTGCATTTGCATGGAAAAAAAATCAAGAACCACTGATAGACACATTGGGATAGGGGAAAGGAGTCCTAGATGGTGAAACTAGCTTGAGCAAAGGTAAAAAGTCTGGAAACCAGTGGCATAAGGAGAAGGGACTATAGTTGGGACTGTCAGAAGGGTGAGGCTGGAGAGGCACGGAGGCAGCTGACATTAGGACTGGAATGCTTATTTTACTATCATTAGAATAATTCTGTTTGTTTGTTTAAACACTTTAAACGGACTTGTCTGTTTCCTTGTTTTCCATCCTTCTCTTTTCTCCCAGTGACCAGGCCAGCAAGGTTCCAGCTGTGCTTCCGGTTTCCATGGTGGTCTCCCTGTAAGCATCTCTGGTACTGGGGGCTGGGTCTCGAGAAATGCTGTGAAAGTTCATAACACAGGCGAACAGATCCCCCACTGGAGAGGGCTGGGGAGATGATGGGTTGAGAAATAAATCTGCCATATGCCAAGGAACACAGAAGTTATCACAGAAGGTTTGACATGTCATGCTGGCTGCTCTCCACCTTTGACATTTGTGCTTCATGGGTGGAACGTCATTCCTGTGAGCTACATTAGACACCCACCCTGTTTTCATTTACAGTGGCATGTCAGAATCACAAATTATAAGCTTTAAAATCCAACCTCGATAACAACAAGTGAATTGGGTCATGCAATATGGGTTAGTAACATGTTCAGGCTCTTTCTGTCTCCCCATAAAAGAAAACCTTCCAAGAATTTCCCCCCTACTTGGGGATCTTGGAAATGAGAGAAGGCTTATAAAATCTAACAAAAGTGTTTGGCAAAGAATGAGTATTTTAAAAATGCTAACTGTTGCCATCATTAATGGCATTGCTCTTCTTGGGGAGACATTGGGGAGGTTGGTGGCCTGGATAGTAGTACTAGATGCCTTGAAGTCTTGACCAAGTGCAGCTCTCAAAGGGGACTACTCCCTCTCCACAGCTGTCAAATTTTTTGATCTAGTTCACAACCTCATTCCCATTAGTCTTTGAGTTGGGACTAACTGTGATTGGGCCCAGCTTAGGCAGAAAAGCTTCAGTTTTTGAGCTTTACTAGTTTGGTTTCGGTGGGAAGAATGAATCTGTAAGAGGAACTTTGGAATAGAGGGAAAGGTCCTGGATTTAAAGTCAGAGCCCAAGTTCTTGTTTGGGTTCTGCCGTGGACTAGAGCTGAAGGACCATGGGTAGGTTCCTTTGCATTCTTGGGTCTCCATTTCATTAAGAGTAAAATAAGAAAATCTAACTGGATGATACTATTAAGGCTATTTGACTAAGAATTTAAAGAAAACCAAGATTAAACCC